CCCCCCACCCCTGCTGGCGCCCCTGGAGAGCTGTTTGGATAAATTAACTATTTGAGACAGTTTTTGAAATAATTGAACTGTTTTTAAAGTCATTTACATGTTTTATTTATCTCTGTTTGCATCATCAGTGATTTCTTCAGGGAGGGGGGCTCCTAATATGGAGCCCACCCACACCAGAGGGGACATGTCACCTTTATACATGCCGAGGAAGAGGAAGCCCGTCCAGACTCAACCCAAAGGTGCACCGTCATGTCCAGGTAAAGAAAAAAAAATATTCTCAATTTTTTTTTTCACAAGGTTTCGACTCTAATTCTCTGGTTTGGTTTGTTTGATCTGAACTTCAGCGGCTCAGAGGTTTCCAGATCCAGAGGTGAGGACGTCTGAGTAAACGGATCTGATGCAGAAAATCTGTTTCTGACAGCAAACTGGATGCTCGTACGTTTCTGTGTTTTAGAACGGAGAGTCAGRAGATCAAAACTCTGCGAAGATGAAACGGAACAACGGCAGAAAACGGTAACAAATGTCTCAATCAATCAAAACTTTATTTGTGTAGCACTTTTAACAGCCAACGGCAACCAAACTGCTGCACAACAGAATAAAAATACAATCAGATAAAATCAAGTGAACACTTCGATAAGTAGAAAGAATTCAACAAAACCCTACACTGTAAAAATAACTTGTAAGATTTACTAGAGAAAATTCTGTAAAGGATTTGCACTAACGTTTGTTAAATAAATTTAAATGCTACAAATTCATGTAATATTTACTCTCATCATTATCTAGTAAATGTATTAAGAATATAGTTAAAGATTTGTGAATAAATCAGGTAAATTTGACTTAATTTGCTCAATTAAATTTTGTAACATGTACTTGATCAAATTAAGTAAAATTTCCCTGATTTATTCACAAATCTAACTATATTCTTGATCATTTTTACTAGATAATGATGAGTAAATATTACATGAATTTGTAGCCTTTAAATTTACTTAACAAACGTTAGTGCAAACTTTTGCGAGCATTTTTTCTAGTAAATCGTACAAGTTCTTTATAACAGCGCACATGCGTCAAGTACAATATTGTAGTGTAAGAAAATGTACGTATTCAAAGACTGAAGTCAATATGAAAACCGCCACTGTTAAATAACATGATTTATAGAAGGAATCAAACCATACAAAACAAGAATTCTGGAACCGAGTGGGGTTTATTGCCATATAGCTGACAGAAAACCACACACTGCCGACAAACCAGGAAGTTGATCCATTTATACAGGGTCTTCAATGCCTGCTTTCGCCCCCTACTGACCCACGGCTGAATCACAGGCATTCAGACAAAATTCTCACCTACTGTTCTCATAACGGATGATTATGTGTTGTTATATTATTCGGACATGTAACTAATCTATAT